GTGTGTGGAGAGCGTTTATGGAGCGTTTGGGGGTCTCGGTTAGCCTTACCTCGGGGTACCACCCGGAGAGTAACGGGCAGGTAGAACGTGTTAACCAGGATGTGGGTAGGTTTCTGAGGTCGTATTGCCAGGACCGGCCTGAGGAGTGGGCGCGTTACATTCCCTGGGCCGAGATGGCCCAGAACTCTCTCCGCCACTCCTCTACTAACCTAACCCCTTTCCAATGTGTATTGGGTTACCAGCCGGTTCTGGCACCATGGCAGCAGAGCCAGATCGAGGCCCCTGCGGTGGATGATTGGATGAGGCGCTCGGAAGAGACATGGAACACTGCCCACGTCCACCTGCAGCGGGCCGTCCTTCGTCACAAGGCGAGCGTCGATCTCCACCGCAGTGAGGGGCCGGTGTACGCACCCGGAGATCGAGTCTGGCTCTCTACCAGAAACCTGCCCCTCCGCCTGCCCTGCCGGAAGCTGGGTCGGCGGTTTGTGGGGCCCTTTAAAGTCCTGAGAAGATTGAACGAGGTGTGTTATAGGTTACATCTACCTGTTGAATATAAGAATATTAACCCCTCGTTCCATGTGTCTCTTCTCAGGCCGGTGGTAGCTGGTCCACTCCAGGACAATGAGATAGGAGAGACTCCTCCGCCCCCATTGGACATCGAGGGGGCTCCGGCGTACACCGTTCGGTCCATCTTGGACTCCAGACGCCGGATGGGGGGTCTCCAGTATCTCGTGGAGTGGGAGGGGTACGGCCCGGAGGAGCGGTGCTGGGTGCCGCGGAGGGACATCCTAGACCCATCTCTCCTGTCGGAGTTCCACCGGGACCATCCCGCGCGCCCTGCTCCGCGTCCTCCTGGTCGTCCCCGAGGCCGGGGTCGGCGCACGGCTGGAGCCGCGCGTCAAGGGGGGGGTACTGTCACAGTTTCGGCCGAGGCTGCTCCTCCTCCTGGTTCGGGCAGGCATCGGCGGTCGTCGTCCCCGGAGTACTAGCTGCCACCGATCTATGTTTCAGGTTCGTTTGGTTTGGTCTTGATGTTGTACACCTGTGTCTAGTTAGTCCTCATTAGTGTTCTATTTAAGTCTCGTTGGGTGTGTCTGTGTTTGTGTGTGATTATTTCTGTCGTGTGTTGTGCTTGTATTTGCTTTCGCTCGGTTGAGCTTCACTCCACTGTGTTGGAGCGTTTACGCACATGTTTAGTGCGCCTTTTGTTTTTGTCGCCTTCGTGCGTAGTTTCGCCTTCGGGCAAGTTTTGTTCGTATTTTCCTTGTTGGAATTTGAACTAAAGTCTTTTGGACTATACTTTGGTGTCCTGCGCTTGATTCCACCACTACACCCACCTACAGCATTCTTGACAGTTGGAGGCTACGGAAGGAGTGTTGTATGGCGTTGAAGCTCGTTTGGAGGTTTGTTAGCACAGTGTCCAATGAAGGGCAAGATGTATACAAAATGGTGTCGTCCGCATAGAGGTGGATCCGAGCGTCACCAGCAGCAAGAGCGACATCATTGATATACACAGAGAATAGAGTCGGCCCGGGAATTTAACCCTGTGGCACCCTCATAGAGACGGCCAGAGGTCCAGACAACAGGCCCTCCGATTTGACACATTGAACTCTATCTGAGAAGTAGTTGGTGAACCAGGCGAGGCAGTCATTAGAGAAACCAAGGCTATTTAATCTGCCAATAAGAATGCGTTGGTTGACAGAGTCGAAAGCCTTGGCCAGGTTGATGAAGACGGCTGCGCAGTACTGTCTTTTATCGATCGCGTTTATAATATCGTTTAGGACCTTGAGCGTGGCTGGGGTGCACCCATGACCAGCTCGGAAACCGGATTGCATAGCAGAGAAGGTACGGTGGGATTCGAAATGGTCGGAGATCTGTTTGTTAACTTGGCTTTCAAATACTTTCGAAAGGCAGGGCAGGATGGATATAGGTCTATAACAGTTTGGATCTAGTGTCACCCCCTTTGAAGAGGGGGATGACCACGGCAGCTTTCCAATCTCTGGGGATCTCAGACGTTACGAAAGAGAGGTTGAACAGGCTAGTAATAGGGGTTGCGACAATTTCGGCGGCTAATTTTAGAAAGAAAGGGTCCAGATTGTCTAGCCCAGCTGATTTGTAGGGGTCCAGATTCTTCAGCTCTTTCAGAACATCAGCTGTCTGAATTTGTGTGAAGGAGAAGCGAGGTGGGGGGGGGGGGGGGGGGGGGGGGGGGGCATGGGCAAGTTGCAGCGGAGGGTGCAGAGCTGGTGGTCGGGGTAGTGGTAGCCAGGTGGAAAGCATGGCCAGCCGTAGCAAAATGCTTGTTGAAATTCTTGATTATTGTAGATTTATCGGTGGTGACAGTGTTTCCTAGCCTCAGTGCAGTGGGCAGTTGGGAGGAGGTGCTCTTATTTTCCATGGACTTTACAGTGTCCCAAAACTTTTTGGAGTTAGTGCTACAGGATGCACATTTCTGTTTGAAAATGCTAGCCTTTGCTTTCCTAACTGATTGTGTATATTGGTTCCTGACTTCCCTAAAAAGTTGCAAATCGCGAGGGCTGTTCGATGCTAATGCAGTACGCCACAGGATGTTTTTGTGCTGGTCAAGGGCAGTCAAGTCTGAGGAGAACCAGGGGCTATATCTGTTCTTAGTTCTGAATTTTTTGAATGGGGCATGCTTATTTAAGATTGAGAGGAAAGCACTTTTAAAGAACAACCAATAGAAAACAGGTCAAACGAAACGAAGTGCAGCTAGTTTGCTGTCTTTCCAGCTTCAGTTTGAAGTGATTGTGTTAACTGTGCTGTTGGCAAGCTCCTCTGAACAACAGTGTCCTGACAAGAGAGCCCATTTTCTATGTCAGGCGAAATCTTGCATCATTAGCTCATTGTTATGGATGTATCCAAATAAATGTCACTAGAAAACAGCTTAAACAAACGCAAATGCAGCCACTTTGCAGCATTGTTTGACGTGACTGTAAGTTAGCCATAGTTGGCTAGCTAGAAAGCGAGGGATAAGAAGGTTGCCAGCCAGTATGGCAATGGACCATTTAGAACAAACGACTGGGTTGCGTCCATAGATACAGAACAAAAAGACTGAACGACTGCGTCGCGTCTCTGGCAACCGAACTGATAGAACGAACAACCAGCCGGCTTGGGTAGCAACTCTAGATTTGTGTCAGGACTATATCTTGTGGAAGGATGAAATAGTTTGAATAAATTAATCAAAATAACATTTTTTATGAAAATATATCAATCATTATTTGAATATGTTGGTAACCCATTGTATAAAAGTGATAATTCCCTCAAAGCCGGTGTTTGGAGGATATATTGGCAATATATCCTCCAAACACCGGCTTCTTGGGCATTATCACTTAATTAGCATTTTCGAATGTCATGCTTTCTGAGCACCTAAAAATGAAGTTAGGTATTCAAACATTGAAGCAGAACCAGAAGCCTGCATTTTTATGTGAAAATCATTTCCCCAATTTTTTTTTACAGTGTATAGACGCTGGATCAGTGTTAAATTTAAAACTGTCAGTGTTGATTTAACACTGGAGAATTTGCTGTGCAGAATCTCAACAGTACCATGTCATGGGAGCATCCTTTTTTCAGTACAGTATATCTTAATATTCTCAGCAGACATTTGTATCACTACTTAAAATGTAATTAAATGGATGCCCCCTTCACTTTTTATTTTATTTTTAGAAAAACAAATCTGATTTTATTTAAAGTTGTTCAGAAAAATTGCAAGATTATAGTCAAATAATGTACTCATTCACTTCAAGTAAAGATACACAACAACTTCATTTCAGATTATGGCTGAACTATACCTATTTTAGCCTCCCCTACAGGCAAACATCTTCGGATTAGTGAACTAAGGTCGATATTGTATTTTTTCGCTCGCTCGCCTCACTTTTCAAAAAATGAAATATGTTCAACATTAAATTACATTTCTATGGCCTTATTTAATCTAACTGATTTACAGTGGGGAGAACAAGTATTTGATACACTGCGATTTTGCAGGTTTTCCTACTTACAAAGCTTGTAGAGGTCTGTAATTTTTATCATAGGTACACTTCAACTGTGAGAAATTAATTACTGAAAATCATACAATGTGATTTTCTGGATTTTTGTTTTAGATTCCGTCTCTCACAGTTGAAGTGTACCTATGATAAAAATGACAGACCTCTACATGCTTTGTAAGTAGGAAAACCTGCAAAATCGGCAGTGTATCAAATACTTGTTCTCCCCACTGTATGAGAATAACTACAGTACAAAGTATTTAAAAAACAATCTAATTTCAACCTAATATCGGTTTGGAATACACAAGAATACAATCATTACACAAATTAGATCTCTGACTCCTGCTCGGCGGACACACATTGAATATTCTATAACTTTGGTTTCTACCTCGAACTGCAGTATAATTAATATCCATTCAATCAGAATAATGTAATTACACTTTAATTGTATTGCCTATAACCTTTAGAACCCCCAAACTCAACTCTGGACCTTGAAGCTAGTTCCACTGCTTTTTTAAATTGTTCCCCTGTAATCAGGGACTGATTTAGACCTGGGACACCAGGTGTGTGCAATTAATTATCAGGTAGAACAGAAAACCAGCAGGCTCCGGACCTCGTAGGGTAAGAGTTGAATACCCCTGCTTTAGAGCAAAACCCATCTCATCTGAATATAATGAACCATGCATCTGGATTAACATTACATTATTAATGCCTATGGTTTAGACAAAACCACATACTGTACAAAATACTTTTACATTACATTTGAATTGCTCATTGTACGTATCCACCATTCAGTAAAGCCTAGCAAGAGGTTGCTCTGACACACACAGTAATTGGGGACATCTTCTACAGGGAGGCAGACTTCAGCAGTTGAAATTGGAGGTTTGGATGTTTAACACTAGAGTGAGGTGAGCTGCGCATTGAAGTGTGGTGACCATTCTGGCATAATTAGCATGCACGGACGCACACACGCACACACACTGTATGAATACACACACACTCTGTAAAGTGCTTTGAAAAAATGTAAGGAGCACTACCTAACAGTAGCTTGGGGAAGTTGGAGGTCTCGATGTTGTGGTAGTAGATGATGGAGGTGATCCCAGCCATGAAGGCCAGGCCTGCAGGCATGTACAGGTGCAGGTGGAGGGACTGGGTGAACCTGGGAGAACACACACAGGACAGAAGGGGTTTAATACACACACACACACAAACACATGCACAGCCGCACACACACACAAACACACATCCCAATTGGAGCAGTTAAAACCATTCTATTCACACACTCAATGCCATATAAAAGCTGCAAGCAGACATTGTGTTATAGTGAATGGTATTCTAGGGTGAAAGTGCAAGAGGAGAGCTCTTCCAATCAATTCACAAACACATAGGAGATGCTCTCAGCGTCGACAGTCAATCCTAAAGTAATCAATGTGTAGGGGACTATAGGGGACATGCGTGGGCAACCAACATGAGAGGAGGAGAACATACAAGGACAGAAGAAGAAAGAGAAGAGGTGAAAGCCAGAGGGAGGAGGGGAGAAAGAGACAGAGAGAGACAACAGAGGCAAATTAATGTAAAGGCTCTGATTGATTTTCTGTAATTATTTAACCTACAATCGTGAATCACACAATATTGGATTGTGGAGTGAGGAGAGGAAGAGGGAGAGACAGATAAGTTGAAGACTAAATGGAGAAAGGGTCGGCAGTGCTGTCACTCAAAGTAGGTAAGGTAGAAGTGCAGACGAGGAAGAGAACCTAGTGAGCTAGATGGGGGGAACGGTGGAGAGTTATGAAAAGAGTACAGTTTACAGCAGAAGCAGTCATTGAGAGGAGCAGAGGAGTTGAGAAGTCTGTGATGACACTGCTAACTTTGCTAAAGATTCAATCTTGTTCAATGTTATGGAGGTGTATGGTCGTTGTAATGTACTGGGGGTCGGTGATGTCAAACATGGGCATAATTCCAGTAGAAGAGCAGGGGGAATGGACTCACCCATCAGAGACGATGCCCTCTGCGATCTCACAGACCAGGACGAAGAGGAGGATGAAGGTGAGGAGCCAGCGCAGGTTGTGACCAGGGAAGTGCAGCCAGGTGCTGTGGTGGATGTGCACCTTGGAGCTCTGGCTGCCCCAGCCTTACAGAACACAGCAAACACAACAATAAAACAGGAAACAGGAAGTTAACTTCAGAGAACAGCGTGCCGTCCGTCTAACTTAGCTTCCCTCCCTCCTTTATCTGATCTGCTGGGAAGGTGAGAGTCAATTCCCAACTAAGCATCCGCAATAATATTACACATTTTACTTGTCTACGGCCGGGATTCAATCCGATCGAGCTTTTTCAGCTATGCACATTCTAAAGGCAATGTTTCCGAGTTCGCGGAGACTGCATTCATGGTAAACGCTGCATATGTTGGCTCAATCAAAAATGACCTTTAATTGTCAAGCGTGCTATAAGATGGATCTAGCACTGATCAGATAAAATACCGGCCTAAAAGAAGACACTACAAGAGGTTGGTGGCACCTTAATTGGGGAGGACAGGCTCGTGGTAATGGCTGGAGCGGAATTAGTGGAATGGTATGAAAAATGTATGCACTCACTAACTGTAAGTCGCTCTGGATAAGAGCGTCTGCTAAATGACTAAAATGTAAATGTAAAAATGTATCAAATACATCAGACATATGGGTTCCAAGTGTTTGATGCCATTCCATTAGCTCCTTTCCAGACATTATTATGAGCCGTCCTCCCCTCAGCAGCCTCCACTGGAAGACACTTCAGACTATTGATTCACGTAGAGACTGTGGAGGGGACACACAAAGTCCCCTTCAGGTGTATTACTCTGGATATCCAATTCATGACCTTGGCTTAATAGCTGATAGGATCAATTCTACTGACTCGCAGTACAACCTTGAAAAACAAGAAAGTTGTCCCTGTGAGTCCTGTGAGTCACAGGAGTAGGACTAGATTAAAGGTCATCAAAGGGGAGTCAGTGGCAACCAGTGGCAAGTCTGTCAAGGACTTCACTGTGAGGTGGGTCACCCTCCGGTACCTGCAGCTAGGCCTGTCTAGACAGAGACAGAACAAAGCTACTGTACCTTGCCTGAGACCGCTATTCCAGTTAGCTCTTAAAAGCTCACACACCTTACGTGCTGCTAGGTGCATGGAGAAAAATGTAGCTTCATAAAAACAAACTCCAGCACATTGGTGATCTAGATGTTTCCGACAATTAATGGATCTTATTTACCATTGTTTCGGTCAAACAACCTTCTTCAGAACGCATCTAGACCACCAGTGTTGCTGGAGTATGTATTTTTATTACAGTAAGCTCCTAAAAGCTAACACCTAGGACTTTAGCTCAATGGGCTACTGTGGTGTTGAGCCAGGCAGTACCCACCGGTCAGTTACATCTACCTTCATGCTTTTAAAAGGAGCGTAACAGCTTATTTTGCTGAACCTCTGGGTTATCAAACACAAAACCTGGTCCTAACTGACCAAATGCTTATATCATTAAATGTATATAATAATCAAATTGCGATGGGTTTCATTAGCAATGCATCCAACTGCTGCTCCCAACAACACCTCCCTACCAATTACATTATAATACCTGTCGGGAGGTAAGTTAATCACCCTGCACTGCTGGCATGCACACACACACACACACACACAAGTATTCTGTGTGTGTAACTGAAGCTCTGCAAACATTGCGACGCCCATGGCTGAGTGGGAGATTAATCTCTCAAGGTCACAAGGCACCTCTGACCTTCTCATCCAATGGGTTTTGAGGACCCGAGAGGATGCAAGGGATCAAGGAAATGCAATTGAGATTCTCCCACTGGCCCTAAGGTGACAGGGAGGATGAATGAGCGAGAGAGAGAGAGAGAGAGAGAGAGAGAGAGAGAGAGAGAGAGAGAGAGTAGGAAGAGGACGAGAGGAAGAAAGAAGGAAAAATAGGTTGAAAGATAGATTAATTGAATGCTGGAGAAACAGAGAAAGAGAAACGAGACTGAAAGAAGCAGAAAGAAACAGGGAGAGAGAGAGAGAGAGTCAGAAAGATGCAGAGATCTGTAAATAATTTTTATCAGCATGTCTTTCACCTCCGCAGTGGTCCCTGGGGGTTTATGAGTTTATCCTATAGCCATTAGCGTCAGTTTACAGTCATTCTCTCTACTTCTCTATTCCTGTCTTTGTGTTTTTCTGTCTTTTTCATCTCTCATCTCCCCCTCTCTCTCTCTCTCTCTCTCTCTCTCTCCCCCCACCCGCTCTATATCTATCTTTCTCTCTCTCTATGTACTAGCTCCATCTTTTAACTTCCTTCTAAGGTAATGGTTTTTATCCCAGTCCTTTGTAGTTTTGGGGTAAGTCTGGTATGGCACCCTATTCACTATAGAATACACTTATGTTTTCCAGAGCCAGTGGAGCACTGTAAAAGGGAATAGGGTTCCATTTCAGATGTAATGTAGCCTCCCTCTAACAGTGTCACAGGGACATAGAGAATTGGTCAGTCACACACTGATGACACATAGCCAAGCACATTAGTCACTTTACCAGCAGTCACAGGAACACAAAACGGGTCTAGGAATGATGATAACACCCGAAGAATGTCTCAGCAAATTACAATCACTTTAACAACAGGGACGGGGACACAGTGAACTTGTCACACATTGATGACACGGAGGTGGTCGGCCGGTCACACAGTGATGGTGACACCAGTGGAATTGGAGGGGGTAGCCAGGTGGAACAGACTGGGAGGCGAGCAGGGATGTGTAACCTGACCCTACAGGTTCCAGCTCCTGCTCGCTAGGCCTAAATTCCAGCAGAAAGGTCACATTTGTTTGTCAAAAATAAAAATGCTTCCCACAACGAGAGGTTTCTTGGAATATGTCCAAGCCACCCACCCCCACCATGCTTCATCTAGGGTCATGTTCCCATTAGAATGTTAATGGTTTTATCATAGGGGAAACACTGTATACTTTATACAGTGGTCCTGTATGGCTCAGTTAGTTGATCATAGCGCTTGCAAGGCCAGGATTATGGGTTCGAATCCTGGGGCCACCAATACGTAAAATGTATGCACACATGACTGTAAGTCACTTTGGATAAAAGCTTCTGCTAAATGGCATATATTATAAACTGTACCGTGGACTTTATATTTCTATGCAAAATGAATGAATGCATCGTTAGTTAAATTTAAAAAGTGGAGCACATGGGAGAGGCTCAGTAATAATTTATGATCTTAGGGACTTAGGTACACGCCTTCTGGCATATGTTGACATCATCTTCATCATCATCATCATCATAATCATCATCATCATCACCACCACCACCATCACTGATTACCAGTCATTACAGTTCATTTCATTGCAACATTAGCATACAGTAACAGAGTGAATGGCTCAGTAACGAGCTGCCATAGGACAGTTATGCTTGGGCGTGTGTGTGTGTGTGCGTGCGTCCGTGTATTACCCGCCCTTGTGGTTGCTGTATGTGTGGTGGGGCCGTGTGGCTCTCACCTCGTGGTAACACTCACCGATAAAGAGGATGGGGAAGGTGATGAAGAGCAGGAAGATGTGCGGGACCACGTTGAGCGCGTCCAGGAAGCAGCCGTTGTTGAGAACGCCGCTGTCCACGTTGTACGCCAACGAGTTGTTCTCGTTCCCACAGAACGCCAAGGACATGGTGGAACCGGGACTCTACGGAGGAACTCACCACAGGAACAAGATGAGGAAGAAAGGGAGAAAGAGGAGGAGGACAACAAGAAAAAAGGAGAGAGAATCTCTCAGAGCATGTTCTTTCTTTGTAGGACACTGCTGTATTTCCAGCAGCAGGTCTCGACGAGTTAGAACGTGACCTCTGCTCTCTTAGTTCCTCACTTTCACATCCTGGCTCCCAATACCAGATCCAGAGAGAAAGAAGGGAGAGGGAGAAGAAAGGAGGGAGAGAGACAGAGGGTAATTATAGTCCAGTTAGAGGGAAACAGCAGCACCCTTTTCTCTCTGAGTTTCTAAGAAGCAGCATTGCCAGCGGAGAGCTCGCTGGTAACAAATTCCTGCATCCTGTTCCCCTGCAGTCTCCAAAACACATCCTTGACACCCGCGTCTGCTTGCCAGGCTGGCTTTGTCTAATCGCCCTCACGTGCAAAACGCTGCACAGCTCCTCTGGAACACACACCACAAAGACACAAAACACACACCGGCGCCTCACACACACACACACACACTCACACACACAGACTAGAGCGGAGTCCTGCTATTCCTATCTCTGTAGATTTCAGTCGACCTTGCAAGAGGACAGCTGAGGCTGAATGTGAGACAGTTTGTCCGTACAGAGCAGACAACCTGCTAGAGGTGGTAGGGAGAGAAGGAGGGAGTGAGAGAGGGGGAGAGAGATAGTGGGAGGGAGAGGGAGAGCGAGAGAGATAGAGGGAGAGAGAGAAAGGTGAGGGGTGAACAAGACCGAGGAAAGAGAGGGGAGGGGGTAATCAAAGAAGAGGAGGGGTGAACATGAATGAAATAGAGAGAAACAGAGACACACACACAGAGAGAGAGAGAGAGAGAGAGAGAGAGAGAGAGAGAGAGAGAGAGAGAGAGAGAGAGAGAGAGAGAGAGAGAGAGAGAGAGAGAGAGAGAGAGAGAGAGAGAGAGAGAGAGAGGTACCAATGCTGACGTCACAGAGTTAGGCTACGTGAGAGGCATCTGGAAGCATGCTAAATCCCAAACACAATTATTTGCAGGAATTACATAATGATATCCCTCATTGTCTTCATTGTCTTTCTACATATTCAGCTGTGTTCAAGCACTAAGGGACAGAATGAACACAATGGTTGCAGAATAACTAGGTTGCTGTAGTTGCACATACATATATACTATCTAAAACACATAACACTGGAACATAAAATATGAATGGCTTCCTAAAAAAGACTACTGTATGTTATGCTGTTTTATTATAATGATTATACTCTCTATGGATCCCAATGACATTCCACTCATTCACGAAGGTAATCAGCCCAAGTTAAAGAATGCACTGTGTAGATTCACTAATTTTTTATAATTTATGTGTAGATCATCAGTAATCTCTACGATGCCCAGCTCAGGTGTCAGGGGTGAGGTGACAACTAGGCCACGTTCAGTTGCAAAACGTTCTCGAACATGGCAAATAGAAATACCATGAATAGAGCCAATGTGATTCCTTATTCTACATTTACATTTACATTACATTTACTTACAAATTGGTGCATTCACCTTATGATAACCAGTGGGACAACCACTTTACAATTGTTTTAT